TCCCCAATCTGAAAAGGATGCGACCATGCAAGAAGCTTGGTTTGTACATATTTTTGTCCAGGATTTTCTCTTATACAAGTGTTATTCTTTTGCTGGTTTACTTGGAAAGGCTGCTCTGGTTATCAGCAATTGTCACTTGTCCTAATCTTATTTTACACTTTTCAAAAATTTTCTGACGACTTTGTCATTCTTGACATTGAACAATCATGAAAGGCCGTTCGTTTTATTGGGATTATTGACTCTATTGTTAGTTTGAAATCTAGAGTAATGGTATCCACCTTTTCTTCTCTCATTAATTAGGTCTCTCTTCGTCACATGCCCGACCTGGAAACGCGTTTTGCTGATCCCCACACCTGTCCACTTTGCACCGCGACAGTGCCGGAGCCTATCACCATGCCAACGAGCCATCACTCCTCCTCTAGTGGTAACAGTGGAAGCGGTGGTGGTTTGTTCTCTCACTCAGTATTTCGTCGCCTCTCAACAACTAAATCTCCCACTTTGCTCACCTCATCCTCCAGTTCCGGAGAGCGGTCGCCTCCTGGCGCTCCAGCAGCTCCTCAGGTAGTCGTCGCACCAGGCGCGGGTGGCGGTCCCATCCATGGAGGTGGCTCGCGCACGTGCAGCCAAATGGTTATCGCGTTTCGATACCTCCTTCCGAGGCTACTACTCATGCCGGTCTATCAGATACTTTACCTCGCGGACCTACTCAATGTGAGTGTCTTTGTCTTGGACTCATTGATAGAGCTGAATTTACACCTGATTTGCTGTTAATCGGACATTATGATTTGATTGTTTTGTGCTACCATCATTGAGTTTGCACAAAACCAAACCTCATCAAAAGTGGTAGAGATGGTCACAAGATTTGGTCCTCGTTCAAAGGTTGTTGCGTTTGGATACCTCGTCGTGCAGCGACTAGTCGTGGCCACTTATAGAACGCATTCAATACGATTCGATGGTGGATTTATTCCTAAGTAAAACTCAACTAGAGGTCATAATTTTGGCTCATTTGCCCACCTCCATAAAGTCCTTTGTTGTGAAGAGTAGCGTTTGCTGCCATCAGTTATTCCTAAACCACCTTCCTCGGTGCTTCACAAGTCGGCACCCTCCATGGCGTCATGCTGAAGGAAAGTGTAGTTTTTTTTTCGCCGACATCGAAAATTGCCTTCATGTAAGATAGAGTTAAAAGTCCGGCAACCACTTTCCTGTGAAGAGGTCTGGAAGGTTGTTTTTGAAATTCAGTACTGCTGAATCATGATCCCTTTTACCCTCTGCAGTAGTTCCAAGGCAATGGAATGCAATGAATTGGATTTTGGTCGACCACTGTCACCTTTTTTTTTGCGTGGAGGTTGTATGAAATCTCCAATACATTCAAAGTGAAGTGGAAGAGATTTTAAACAGTTTACAATTAGTCCGTACCGGTGGTCTCTATCTTATTCACTTGAGCTGGAATACTTCTCTTCCTGACGCTGATCTTCGGCGCTCACCTCTTTCTGCCAGAGAAAGCCTCAGTTTGTTATTGAGAGTGGTGTAGTTGCGCATCCGTCTGTTCGATCCTCCGAGCTACCATTAAGGAACAATGATCGCTGTCTTTTTAAAAAACATTTCTATCATAGCAACAATCATCGAAAGGAGGAGTGACGGAATTATCTTTTCATTGGTCCTCTCTTACTACGTTGTGCTGCCTATTCATTAATCCGATTCCTTTTTTCGTACTGTTATCTGAGCTCTAATTTTGCTTTGCGTTGATAGAAACTTGTGTCTCACCAAGTTGAACGGGTCCTTTTGTAATCGGTTTTAGTAATTTGAAGTAGTGGTCATATGGAGACCTGAAGTGGGCTGGAAACAATCGGTTCGGATCTCGTGGTTTACATTATTTCATCTTCTATACCACATGACCCATGCGAATGCTTGTTTTTCCAATGTGGTGCTCTATTTGGCATTTTTG